TCACCCATTTCAGCCCAGAACCTCACCCATTTCAGCCCAGAACCTCACCCAATTTGTCTCAGAACCTCACCCATTTCAGCCCAGAACCTCACCCAATTTGTCCCAGAACCTGTCCCATTTCGTCCTAGTAGAACCTAAACCAATTCAGCCCAGAACCTCACCCATTGCGTCCCAGAACCTCACCCATTTCGTCCCAGAACCTCACCCATTTCGTCCCAGAACCTCACCCATTTCATCCCAGAACCCGACCCATTTCGTCCCAGAACCTCACCCAATTCATCCCAGAACCTGACCCATTGTACTAAAATCATTAATGAGTAACTTCACACAGGTTAACCTTGTTCAAATTACAGTATTATAGATTTCACACTCTGAGCTTCAGGAACCACCCAGTTTGGGTCTTAGTAAACAATCCAATCTTCATCAAAGTTCTGACTGAAAGGAGCAGCTGAAACATGAAGTTCTGGTTTCTGTGCAGCTGAGGTTTTGTATCAGATCTCCTCCTTTCATTTGCATGAAGTCAGAGGCTGATTTTCATTCCATCTGAATACATTTGCCTTCATGCTCCACTCTTACATCCTGGCCCGGTACTGCTGGCCTGTTTGGTGTCAGCAGGACGGAGCTGCTGGCTCCCTGTTTGAACGGGTCACCAAGTGATTCGAGTTCTGTTCTGCCTCTGTGGGTTTCCTGTGAGGTCATAGAGGACGGGTCGGTCCTTCTTAGTAATGAAGTTCGACCCGAGTTCTGAGATCAAGATGTGTTCTTTTGTCTATGTGATGTTCAGACGGCGGAGCAGGCCTTCAGGCAGATCCAGAACATCGTGGACTTCAGCTCCAACGTCATGAGCAGCCTGCTGGGCGGAAAGTTCGTCCACAGTGGGGTAAGAAACAGTTTGCGTTCATTAACACGATCAGAACCATTTTACATTACAAACATGGGCTCAATAACCAGAATGAAAACAATTTTTTTTCTTTGAATATTCATGATCTTAATTTAATTGCAGAACTTTTACTTCAAATCTGACCTGGATTCTCCTCAACCTGCAGTTCATGAATCATTTATTTAAATTTTAAAGAGGGAGTCATTTGCTTCCTGTGTTTGAGACATGCAAACATAAACTTAATGATTTCAGGTTAGCTTCATTTAGTTCAGCCGAGTTCAGAATCCACTCAGAACCACAGAATGATACTAAAATTCTCCAGAACCAGACAGTGAGTAACTCTGTTAGAGTCTGAAGGGTTTTAATCACATGAGCCCTGTTCTCTGGTCAAATGGATCCCCTTCCGACCTGGAACATTTCACATAAACAGCTTCATTCCTGAAGCTAAATCAGACTCTTCAAAGCATCATCCCAGGATTTCTGTGAATTTTCCAGAATAATGTGTGTTTTAAGTTAAACTTGTTCCAAAAGGCTGAAGTTTCATCTCTTGGTTTGGTGTGCAGGAAGTTGTCAGACTGCCGCTGGAGTTTGTTCGACAGCTATCCATCAAGATTCAGCATCAGAGACCCGGTGAGACACGTTTATGTTCCTGTTGTTCTCTGACACTCAGAGCGACTAACTATTGGTGGAAAGTTTCCTTCTTCTGTCCATCAAACCCCCCGAGACGGTGGTTCTCCACCCTGGTCCTCAGACTTGGACTTAGACTTAACTTTATTTGTACCTTGGGATTACTCCTTCAGGGAAATTCTGGGTCCAGTAGCTCATATAGAGTACAAAGAGTTAAAGCAAGATGCCATTAAAGATAGAAATACAATAGACATTATAAAATAGTGTATATAGTACAAAAGAGAGAAATTAAGAAAAGTCTTAATGTCCTAAATATCTGCACAGTTGAAAGCTAAGGAAAGACTACACAGTAGTTAGAATGTGTTAGGAGCAGTGTGGGGTTAAGGGTCTTGCTCAGAGACCCAGAGTGGCAGTCTATGAGAGTGGAGCTCAAACTCATAACCCCAGTATTCCAAGTTCTATGCCCTAACCAACAGGCTGCCACTCCCCTCAATAGGTAATATTTTGTACAAGATGTTGACCCTTGTCCCTCTTCCTTTCACCTCCTCCTTCCCCCAAGTGTGGAGTTGTACAGCTTGATGGCTTGAGGAACAAAGGAGTTCAACAGTCTGTTGGTCCTATATTTAAGGAGGAGTATTCTCCCACTGATCAGGCTCCTATGAGTGGTGAAGACAGTGTGTAGAGGGTGGCTGGCATTGTCCATCATGTCCAACAGTTTAAGTGACCTTGTCTCTGCCACCATCCCTAGAGAGTCCAGCTTCTTGCCAATCACAGAGCCGGCTCGCCTGACCAATTTGTCCAGTCTGGAGGTGTCCTTCTTGGATGTGCTGCTCCCCCAGCACACCAGGGTGTATAAGAGGACACTGGCAACCACAGACTAGTAGAACATCTCCAACAGCTTGTTGCAGATGTTGAATGACCTCAGTCTCAGGAAGTGCATCCTGCTCTGTGTCTTCCTGTGCAGGTGGTTGATGTGTGTTGAACAGGTCAGTTTATTGTCCAGCCACATCCCCAAGGTATTTATATGAATCCACAGCCTCCACCTCAGGCCCCTCCAGTAGCACCGTCTTTGGTCCCTACCTCCCACGGTCTATGACCAGCTCCTTCATTTCCCAAATGTACACACCATGTCCATGTCTAGTTTAACAGCTGTGGTCTGACCACCTCCAGGACTCTGTGTCTCTTTTCTCTGAATCACTGACCCTCTGCGGACTCTGCCTTCAAACCTGCACCAATGCAGTAAAAATAGACCCAGCTGAACTCTTGATTTCTGTTTCAGCCTGGCGCTGTGATAAAGTCATGGACATCTACAGCGGCTGCGCTCTCTGCCTGCCCAACCTCACGTCTCCGACCCTGCACCAGCAAACACCCAGCCCGCCCCTCTGCATCGAGATCAAGGTACACATAAAGTCCACTCAGTGGACGAGTCAGCCACACAAGTCAGTGTGTCACTCAGCACCTTTTTTTTAAATGATTTTCTGCTTCCAGCCTAAATGTGGCTTCCTGCCGTCCCCCAAACACGTCAGCAAGGACATCAAGACCAGAGTGTGTCGCTACTGCATGCACCAGCACTACAAGGTAGAGCCATGGGAACACGCAGGGTTCAGATACTTTCCCTATCCTAAACCTAATGAATGTTGGCAAATCTCGATCAATAGTAATTGGATGCAGAAACTTGTTTTATGATAATCCACATCACATTGAAAGTGTAATTAAGAAAATTGATAAAGGTGTTACTCTGGTAAGGAGATATTCCTCTTTTATTCTCCGACAGTTTTGGTTTGAACAGGTTGTTCAATCTTCAGTTCTTTCTCAGAAATCTGTTCTGTTATATTTGTCTGCTGCCAGCAAATCAGATCTTTTAAGGTTGCAGGTATTCCAGAACAAGGCTGCTCAGTTAGTGTTAAGATATTTTTGAAACGAGTCGTTCTTTACTATGGCCTCCGTTGAAGGTTATGTTGCAGTATAATTTACCCTTCAAACAGGAAGACCTGAGTCATCCATTCATGCATTTTCTGTCACGCTTGTGCCAAGCGGGGTGGCGAGCGGTGCTGGTGCCTATCTCCAGCTATCTACGAGCGACAGGCCGGGTCCATCCTGGACAGTTCGCCAGTCCATCGCAGGGCAGACCTGAATCATTTTGTGAAACAAGATTCATTTTAAACTTTGCTAAGAGAGACTTTCTACAGAAATCGTTCTATAGAACAATTAAAAAATGCAATAAATTGCCTAAAAACATTAAAAAACGAAGAATTTTTCTTTAAAAGAGCACTGAAATCGAATTTTTGAAATTTAAGTTTATGTGTGTAAAATATGATGAAGACCATGTGTTATTGTCAAATCCTCCTTAATGTTTTATGATTAGTTTTTGTATTTTATCAGTTGGACCACAGGAAGATTAACAACCACGTTGGTTGAAACTAATTCGGATCTTAGTAAAAAAAAAAAACTCCATAGTTCTAAACTGAACCCCTATTTATCAGAAAAAGGTAATCACTTTACTTCAAAGTCCTTATTTTACCTGTAGAATACAAAGAATACCTTCTCTCTTGGCTGCAAGAACAAAAACACCCTGAGATCCAGCAACTCTGCCACTC